GGCGCTTCGGTTAGGTTAGGTTAGATATTTAGGTTTAGATATTTGAACTCGGGGGACCGAGACGAGATCAACGGTACCCTACTTTTGGATTAGAGACCAAAAATAAGAAAGTTATTATCTCCAGGAGGGATAGGTTAGGTTTGTTGGACAAACTGCAAAAGCAATGCGTAGTACTAGCTGACTGCGAGCGATAGCGAGCATGTCAGTGGCTGAGAAGCAGTATGCCCTGAGGTCGAGGAGCACGGGGGCATGCGAAAAGGACTTAATTCCAACTGCAGATGATCAGTGTGCTTGAGGATCAACATCTGCCTCTGTTGAAGGTATAGATTGTTGGACTGCCTGTTAAACATGCGATAGGCTTAGCAGAGAGAGCGGCGCAACTCCCGACCATCGTTCAATTGCTGGAAAAAAGTATGATAACTTTCTTATTTTTGGTCTCTGGTCCAAAAGTAGGGTACCATTGAACTTGTCTTGGTCCCGTGAGTTCAAATATCTAAACCTAAATATCTAATCTAACCAAAGTGTGCCATTGGGGTTACCTAGGCATACTTTAACCGAGAAATCAATATTTAAAATGTGTAAAATGAAATTATTAACTAAATGTCGTGTAATATTTAAAGGTGTGATGTTATATTGATTTAAAATGGATGGATGAATATTTATTTTATTTTTCTTCCTATCAGTTGAATCAAGTTAAGATGATTGCTTTAATCGTTAATGAATTCAGTATATCAATTTAAATTTGAAAAATATGATATAAGATTGCCAGATAACCAAAGTGTATGGAATTGCAGAACAACTAACTGAAGAAATGTATCCATAATTTTTTTTTTAAATTTGGCCTTACCATAACTAACAAATTATTAAATACAGGTAACCCCCATATAACACAGCACTTCTATAGCACGGATTCACTCTAACACGGTTCGAGAATTGGTACCATCCCCCGTATAACACGGCACTTCTATAGCACGGATTCACTCTAACACGGTTCGAGAATTGGTACCATCCCCCGTATAACACGGTACTTTTATAGCACAGATTCACTCTGACACGGTTCGAGAATTGGGTAAAACCTTCGTACAACAGGAAATGTAATAAATTTTTACATACTTAAGTAATAATAGTTCACGAAAATTATTATTTTCGTGAACTATTAGCACTTAAGTATGTAAATTTCCTCTTCTCGTCTTCTGTCGATACACATGGTCTTTCTCGAAACTTGTTTCAATGTTGCAAGATCGCAACACTTCTGCTTCTGATGTTGCCGAATGTTTTTCCCTTATTCCATACTTGCTTTATTCTTCATAAGTGCTTAGCACCATATAAGGAAATTTATAAAGACCTTTTAACTAGAAGCAAGCAATCTAAAATTACATACATTTTGCAAAAGGTAAAGCATGGATCTGAAGATAATGCAGAAAAATGCTCAGAGGATAAGGATAACTTGCCAAAAAGAAAACGCTCTCGGTTAATTAATAGTGTTTTTAGTGATGACGAAGAAAACATTGTTTAACAAACATCGCTAAACCTGATACATAACATAAGTAAACACCAACGATATGCCGAAAATCTATCGGGCTAGTATTAGGCTAATTACTAAACTAAATTATTTAAATTAATTAATTTATTTATAATTATTAACATTAATAAGAGATGGCGCCTAACGCCTACCTCTAGTGCCAAATTGAATACATAATTCGTTTAGTAATTAGCCTAATGCTAGACCGATATATTTTCGGCATATCGTTGGTGTTTACTTATGAAAACATTGTTTAATTTATATTAATATGTATCACTTAAAAAAATTTTAATGAAGATATTTATCTTAATTATTAAAATATACTAGCATGTTTTTTTAATTTTTGGAACCTAACCCTCCTTTTTGTATTAGTTCTTTGTTTTGTATAACACAGATTCGCATAACACGGCAATTTTTTGGAACGTAACTACCGTGTTATATGGGGGTTACCTGTAATATGTAAAAATTTCATAATAAATAATAATTAATACTCCTGATTCTTATGTTTACATTTTTGAGTTAAACTTTCAAAGAAATCCAATGAATGAAAAAATTGATCATGATTAATAAAATGGCAGATTCATTGTTTCAAATCATGCAAATTGCCTTTTTTTGTATTGAATAAAATTTTGTAAATTATTTTTGATGAAGTTGTAGTGTTAAATGCTAATTTTGTGTAAGTTTGTGTTGACAAGTTTTACAATGTCACTTTTTCTACTTAACATTATTCTGGAAAAAAATGATATAAATAATGCATATTACAAGCCAAGTGATAAATGCAAATTAGTATATTAAAACTTAAATGATTTATTATATATGCTGCTGTAATTTTCAATTACTATGGCATAAGTACAGAACTGTATTTCATTTGGGATTATTTTTAACTCTATTGTAAGAAGAAACTCTACTTCTAACTTTTCATAAAAGTTTATATTTTTTAGTCAAAATTGGTAAATATTGAAAATTTGGATTGTTTTAAAAATAGAATATATTAATAAAAATAATGTATTCTATTTAAAAAATAATTAAAGTTTTCTATAGAAAACCCTATAAACAATTTTTACAGAATAAAAACAAATTTTTAATAAAGTATGTATATAAAGAAATTTAATAAAAATATATTTATAAAGAGGTGATTTCATGACAAACTTAATTATGAACAATTTAATCACTAAATGAGTCCATTATAATGTACTATAGTCATTATAATGGATTCATTCATTATAATGACTAAACATTAACTAAAACTTTTTAACTATTGATAATTCCTGGATATATGACATTCAGGGAATACAGTATCAATCTTTATTATAGATATTTGATATAAATGCAATATTTTACTTTAAGAGAAAAAATGTTACTTTTAAATATTTTTTCTCTATTTTTAAAACATGCTAACAAATGTAAAAATCCAATATTTCAATGTTTAGATATTGTATATCTTATAATAATAAACATTTTAGCCTAGAAATTCAGCTATTTTAATTAATAGAGGAGTTCAGTTAATAACTTAGCTATGTCTGAAAATAATCATAATGAAGCAATATTATGTTATGCATAAAATTTAAAAATAATTATTATTAATGTAAGGAAACTATTAATGCCCAAGGATATAGCAAAATAATTCAAACATAAAAGTGCTTTCATTTTTGAAAATTTTCTTGTACAACTTTTTTATTTAAATTTTGTTCAAGTTAAAATAACAGAAATGAATAGATTCATCTTTGATTACTTACTAAAAGAAATTAATAATTTTATTTTTTATTACTAATTTTCAGAAGAAAGAAAAAATAAAGACTAAATCCATAGAACAAGCTCTTCAACATTTTGATCATTTTTATTCTGGAATATTTAAAACAAAATGGCCTTCAATTCGATTAGCATTGCAATGTCCTTCAAAATACTGTGCTTTTGTGAATGCTTTCAGTGATGTTGAAAGCACAGTAAAAACACTTGAAGAATATGGTGCTATAAACTTAAATAATATATATAACAAAAATGTACAAAAGTGTCAAAAAGAATCAAATAAACAAGAGAATAAAGAAATAATCAGTTCTTCAGGAAACATTAACAACCCAGATGAAATTTTAGCTGAAGAAACAGATGATTTTATAGAAACTGATAATAAAACTGTTTATTCACCAGAAGCAAGTTATGTTGCTGAAGGAGAATATATCCCAGCAACTAAATTAAAATATGAAGAAGAAATTATTGATGAAAATGAGTATTTTTCTTTTTTAAAATCAGATTTGAGTTCAACTATAAATTCTGAAAGAGAGAGAAATACAAGCTTTCCCAAATCTTGGAATATTTATGTATATCCTAGAGGAAATATAGAGAACTTTCCTGCTCCCAAAAAGGATTCATTAGAACTTTTCAGTGAGTAAAGTTTCAATATCATTAGAAATATCCATAAAAATGCTGAAATGACTATATTAATTATTTTAGGCTATTATTTAATGGATGGAGCATCAATATTACCCGTTCTAGCTTTAAATCCTCAACCTGGAGAATTAATAGGTGATTTCTGTGCAGCACCTGGAGGAAAGACACTGGCTATATTATTTTCACTTCACTTTGGTAAGTTTTATATCATGCAAAATGGAAAATCCACCGTTTATTACATTATATAAATTTAATTAATATTTAAATCAAATAATTTTAAATATCATTTTTATAGCAAAACAATTATCCATTAAACTAAAAAAAAGTTACTCAAAAAACTCAAGAAAAAAATTTAAATTTATTCAATATTATATAGTACATAATGAAAAATAATTTTAGATAATCTGAAACACTCACCAATCCAAACAGGTTCATGTCAAGAAGTTTGGATTAGAAAGATTCTACTGTACAAAGAAGTTAAGTTCAGTATATTATAAATTTTCAGGTGCAAAAGGAATAGAATTATAATAGTTTTTAATTCTTGTAATTTTATTCTTTTGTTCCTAAAAATATTACAAGAAAGGTAATAAAACAGTCAAAAACTATTAAATGGTGACAAATATAAAAATATTAATGTATTTTAATTTTTTTAATAATAAACATTTTTTTCATTATGTATATATTAGTGTTGAAACGAATAGTATATTCGGCCTCAGGTCGAATACTGAATATTCAGCCAGGAGTGTGGCTGAATAGCCGAATATTCGGCCAAACTATTCGATTTGATTAACGCACATACGAAAATTGGTGCGCAAACCGCATTATGGCAAGGATCCTGCTCTCTATTGGTCCGCTATCACTACGCTTCACCAATCGCATTAATTCTTGACAGTTGTAGTGGACAGATAAGAGTGTCATGGCAGTATGTGATAAATGATGATATCAAATGTGGATAACAATGAAATGACCTACACATGTAAATAACGGAAAAAGAACAGAGAAGGACCGCAAAAATGTGAAAATAAATATGAAATTGAGTTAATAGCATAATCGAACAAGTCGGCAGCTTATTACCGCAAAATTCGCGGCCACCAATGCCAAACAATTGCTGTCATAGACTTCGGAAAGCTAAATGCTTGTAATGAAAGTCACTTAGCGTGCGCAGGCGAAAGCCTGGGGCTATTCGGGCTACCAAGCTGTCTTGAATCAGTGAAATCATAACTGTGACTTATACCGACATCCTATCTGTCTCTTTTCATTGTTATTATTAGGCTATGAGTCACGTAATTGTAAAATGGGAAATCTATGACGGAAAAGTGACGAATCGAAAGTATCGTAAGCGCGTATATGATGTATGTATAGGCATACGTGGACTAGAGCGATAGAGGAAAGAGAAAGGGAAGAGCAAAGACGAGCTCTTAAAAAGAAGAATAGGCAGGATTTGACAGATGTGCGACGATTTTCGAACGAATAGGTGTGTACGTGTGCTGATCTTTGTAATTATAAATTGTGAATACATGTGACTAATATTATTTTCTTTTTTATTTTGTGCATGTTATAAGTTATAAATAAATATAAACAAACAACACTAACCCGATAACATTAAATCTAAATACCAAAATGATTAATTTACTGTGTTTTTGTTATTTCTTACTC